AAAATCACATTTTTTTGTTCATAGTTTTTTCTAAATTTCAGTTTTTATTGTTCATAATTATTTACAGCAATAACACTTTTTTCTGTTGTGAAACCATTTCCAGTTATGATTGTGTACATGACAGCTTTGCCCCACACAATAAGACATGTATGGATATGTGTGAGTATGTTTCATGGGTTAATAGGCCACTTCTTTGCTTTAATTTCAACTATATCTCTGGAAATATCACTTGTTGTTTATCATCCATATTTCGATATCCCACAATATCTGGTAATTCTAACTAAATACTAGTTCGCAAAATTTGCCCAGCCTTGCTTCTCCTCCCATATTGTCCTTAATAGTGGAGGTTAATGCAGATATATTGTAAATTACACAGAGGTAACACTACAATACATTTCCCTTTACATTCCCTGGTATTACACAACAGTCTTTGTGCTGAGGCAGTTGTGATTCATATTCATCACCAGTTCTCTTGTATATGTTGGTGTTGTATTGTAGGCGTACATGTTGTCAAAATCAAAATACACACACATACGGATAAAGCAGGACAATATCAATGTGTGCAATCGGGGTAACCAAGTGTATTGTATGGCATCTCTGACAGACCAATTCAATATTATTTATTAAATAAAGATAAAATGGAACTTGAGGCAAACGAACTTACAAATACTGACCCACTCCATGCCCTATTGCTGAATTGGCGCCGTGGTTCTCTCACTGACGTAGTAACTCGAGAACGCATCTATTTTATTTATCAGTTACCTATCATACTGTAATAACGTTACTTATACCGGAGATGAAAAAAATCACTGTTTGAAATACGTAATTGGTTATTTTGTTTTTCAGCGATTTATTATTTCTGTACATGAACTGTCACGAATCTGCTTTCAAGACAGTGTAAAATTAGTATTATTTACGCTGCTGATGTTACAGGGTATCGCCTTTCCCAAATTTAGCTATACTATATGTGGTTGTGAGATTTTAGTCAATATAATACAGCAAGCTTTAGAAATATTGCGGCAGCAATTTAGCAAACTTGCTCACTTATTCGGTGATAACTTTGGTTTTAATAAAACAGATTTGACGATTGCAAATAATTTTGCATACTTTTCAGTCTTCAGACTTTATTTAAAATATTGTGTTTTGGGGGGAATACTAGTAATTGGTGATATCAGAATGAAAGGTAATATTGAAATTGTGGTTCATCCGCATATTCAAAACATAACAACAGAATTAGTGATAAACTTAGTTAATTGCTGCCACAATAATTCTGAGAATTGATTTAAGAACAAAACAGTTCATATGTTATGCCACGTTATTCTTGCTTCGCTTCAATACGACTGTACAATTAAAGCGGGGGAGTCGTCAAATGCACATGCGTCAGATGGCCATAGCGTATCATTGTTTACAAACAGGCGTCTACCCATGAACCTTTGCGGTTTTAGCGCGTGTTGTTATCATCGCTTGTGTCTCAATTCCCGCGCGTGCGCAGTTGACGACCCTCCTGCTTAATTACAATAATAAAAACATCCACACTTCAGGTCGAGCATAAGAACGTCACAGTAGCGAGATACCTAGAATTTATGTATAATAGCTCTGATTTCTCCGTGTGAAGAACACAAATGACAGGATATTAATAATAAAACACCTGCCACTCCTCTTCCTCGTCAGTTATAAGGAATCTTCGTTGATGGGCAATCACCTTGTTACATAGCAACAAGAAATACACTTGTTTATCTATTTATCAGAACACTTTAAAAGTCGTTGAACCACGAGAACTGAGTTGTGTCAAATTGTCCATCAGTTTTGAATTATGGTTATGAACTACTTGGATTTAATTGCCTTTGTAAATATAAAATATATAGCATACAACGGTAACCATGGCAATCATTTGAAAGAAGTGACACTACATTGAATCAATATGTCAAACCTCTCGTCGGCAACACTGTAGTCACCGAATTGGGTTAATGTTATCCTACCCCTCCCCTTCCCTTCCCTTCCCTTCACAGAAACAGTCAATCTCTTATACATATTATTTATTTCCAGGGAGTATGGATGCGACAATCCACGCTATACGTTTTCAAGCTGGCTGGGATTTAGTTTGATGCCTGCTGTAAGTAGCCTCTGTTTTACCGGCCGGTGTCGGCTCCGATCGATCGTAGACAAATTTTATTTATTTGTCAGTTGTTACCTAACTTGAGTTAATAAAAACATGAAATTGAATAGTCATATTCAGCTAACACCTCAGCTTTTTGAAAATATGCACATTGCTAAAGTTTAATAAATTATAGAGACTGTCTTTATTACAAACTGATGATTAATGTTATTTTTCTGTCATTATCTTAAAGCGGGAGGGTCGTCACCTGCGCACGCGCGGGAATTGAATCCCGAGCGACGATAACAACACGCGCTAAAAACGCCAGAGCTCATGGGTAGACCCTTGTTTGTAAACAATGACACGCTATGCCACCTGACGCATGCGTAGGTGACGACTCCCCCGCTTTAAATACAGATAAGATCAATATTTACTGTTACTACATGTATATTTATTAAACACTAGTGAACGGGATTATAACATACAATCCTAACCTAATGTTCAATCCTGGGATATAAAGCGTCACATTCATCACTCGAATGGTTTGAATGATATGGGTCCCATACGATGAATACAACGCGTGTAAAATCATTCGAACTATGGTGCTTATATTTAGCGAAAATGTGTTCTTCCTATACACAGACTTTGATTATCGTCATCCTTGCTTTATTTCAAGACAGAGTCTCAAAGCCAGTGTGTTGTTTCAAAACCAAACTTGGCATACCGTAGTAAGTATTTCATAATTTTACACTTTAATTATTGCATATTTGTGTTCGTTTCGATTTAAGTACATATCACATCCGAAAAACAAAATTGAATTTCATTTAATAATCCAGCTACATGTACATTCACTGACAGTTATGTATGCGACGATGTAGTGTAGTGTTATGTAGTGTAGTGTAGTGTAGTCTAGTCTAGTCTACTACGATTTACTAATTAATTATCAATATTTTACAACGTTCAATTCGTCAAATAATGTAGTGAGATAACAACCAGTAGTTGAGATATGAAAATACGATATTTCTGATGTTATAGTTTTAAAGAACCATTTAAATTCATGTCAAAAGAATGTGATTCGAACACACAAGGGGAATAGTCTACGTGCGATGAACGTACTCTCTGATAATATTAATCGAACAGAGGGCGTATAGTTATTATACTAAACAGACATAGAACCCGGGAGTATTCCATAATTGTAAAAGCATAACTTTAGTGGAAAATGGAAAGCAACAGTTTTTCGTAGAGTTTATGTTTATCTTTTCAGTCCAGTAAACTTAGTAGATGGATTCACAGATCGGTGGTCGTACGCTTGTTGTTTTGGAATTACTAGTTCTTGTATAATGGACCTGTTTTCCGGCAACTATTACATCAAATTGGACCCTGATTGTATCGATATTCCCAGAGCTGTCAAAGGTACACATACTTACTGTATACTCGTATTCAATCATTACTACATCACTTATGGAATATTATAATCTCAATTTGGGCACTCATGTCAATATCCCCGATAAATATATACCACATAAGTGTTTCAAAAATGTCGAACTTTGGAATTCGTGATATTACTATAGCTTTACTATTACTATAGCTTTTGACTTCAGTTGGATTGATTGGTCAAGCAAGGATTCAAGGCGAATTTGCAGACATCAACATACCGACAAATATTAACAGTGTTGATGGAATATCATGCAAAGACAATATATGATATGATATGGTATGATATGATATGATATGA